TAAAACTTGGATTATACATCTGCATCAATTTTTTTGTTGGTGACTTCAGTGATACTGTTTCAGAAATTAGTGTTATGAGAACTATCAGAAACCATCAGCTGATTTCAACTTAATCCTAGGAAAAAAAAAGAACAGTTGATTATTACTATTGCTAAAGTTGTCAGTTGTACTGTTTGTTGTGTAAATTATTCAGTATAAAGTAAATAAAGGAACAAAAAAAAATAAAAGTCCTTATACAACTTCAGAATATTGAATTATACAGAAACAGCTTAAATTTTTAAGGTACATCAGATTAACAGATTTTAGCAAAAATACTTTATGTAAAGATGTATAAAACAAAAATTTGGCACTTAAGTTAGGCAAAAATTTTACTCAACTGACTTTCAACGACGTACTCAAAAATTGTAACATTCAGTAACGATTCCTCATACCGATAAAAAAACAAAAGTAACGAATAACAGACATTTAGCAAAATTCCTTCACCATATTTGCACTTCATCCTATCCACTTTTTTTCTTCTTACAAAATATAACGGTTCTACAAGCAGATAAGTTTTGAGGATTAAAGAAACAACTTTTCAGAGGTTGTTAAATATTTATATACAGAATCATCGATACACAGAACGCAATAACCTTCGGGTAGTGTTGTCATTGAATGAAGCCGAACTGCAAGCTAATGTCTCTATTACACACAGTACCAACAAAAAACCGGCAATGGATTACTTGAATCAATTCTTAAAAGTATTTTTAACCAATTTTTCTGCAGCACTGTAATAAAAAATCAGTAGCATTTTTTTCCTTCTGATCACTCTTTACAGTTAGGTAAAAAAAAAAAGCACTAACCAGAATATAGCAAATCTGTAGATAAACAAAATTAATCTACGATCATTGATATTCACCGGTCAAGTTATAATTGTAGTTATGTTAGTTTGAAAAAGAAAAAAAAAAGGTTCTCATTATATACCGATTAACTGTATATTACATCCAAATAAATGCTGCGAAAAAAAAAAAAACTGGTAATTTTTTATGTTTACCAATTTCTATCCTTAAATTTTTTTTTATTTTTGTTTAGTTTATTTAATCTTCATCTAAACTTTTAAACAGCTTTTAGTAGCGCTATCAAACTAGACATTGTTTTTTTTAGAAACCTAGTTTATTCTTGTTAATCAAAAAAAAAATATATTCTGCCCATTTTTTTCTTCATGCTTACAAAGAAAATTTTAAATAATATTTGTTTTGTTTACTGATTAAATAGCTCTTTATACTTTTTTTTTCTACTTTTTTTACTTAAGACAACTGCCATATGGTTGTTCAGAGATCGTGAACTCGGAGAAGCGATAAGAGCATCGATGAAACAGTTAAGGTCCCGTATTGCTGCTATTTAGCAGTCATAATCTTTATTGATCAAGGATTTTTTGAACGATAAAGTTCAATGAATTTTTGCTTCTTTTTTTTTCCTGTCAGATGTTCTGTTTCCCTTTCAGTAATAAACCAAACAAAAATCAATTTAAATTTAATCGTATTAACGACTCTAAGAACAATAGAACAGAAAAATGAAGCTCGAAGATTGGAAGTACCAAAAAACTACTGTCATACTCAATTAATCTTTAAAAAAAAAAAAAAAA